TCTTGCAGAATAGGACGGAGAACGAAACCTAACTACCAGCTGGAGGCCAGCCATCTATCGTAAACGCCTACCCCAGCAATTGAACGTTCGTATGAACCGCAACCATGGCTCTGGTACGTTGAAACCTTATGCCCGGGCCGGGAGAGCATACTAGGGCATAATACTCTTTGAGAAGCTCTCGCAGGGCCTTACAGAGACTCACACCTTCCTCTATCGCCTGTCCAAGGCCGAGGCTACATATCACTTATCAATCTGACCTGCGGATTTCTAACCGACGTGGTTAGCAGAATGTGATCTGTGCTGTTGTTGGTGGCGTCACTGTGTGGCCACGCACGCGCCGTAGCACCATGAAGCTGCGGGAAAGCCACCTCCAAGAGCCGCTGCCATCTCTGCATCAGGAGTGAGATGAAGGCTAACAACGGCAAGCCGCTGTCAGATTCACAGGGTGCGGCACGTATGCTGCCATCCGAAGTGACGTGCATCTGCGGGCTTCCGGTTTGCAAACGGCGGCCGAGGTGTCAGTCACACGTCGCTGGTGGGTTCCTGCGCCCCGGGCCTTGGCTCCGTCATCATATCGCGCATGCGCCGAGAGTCGGAGAAGACTGATTCGACGTCTCGATGCGAGGGACAAGCTTAGCTGACACATGATGCGATTGAGACAGGGAGGCGACCGACGGCTGCACAGGAACGCATGGCTTCGTGGGCGAGAGGCTGAACAGACAACATGGCCACAGCCGCCAAGGATTAATAAGAGATGTATTGTTACAAAAGGCGCCGTAAATAGACTCTTCTGCATGAATAAGAAGTGAATTGATCTGAGAGGGGGGGGGAGGGAGGTGGTTAACTGTGTGAAACTAAACGTGAGGGGTGTCAGGATTCCCCTTCAAGAGAGATGGCCTGGCATTTCAAGCGATTCAAAAGCAGAATACAAAAAGATCAAATCGGAACATGGATCAGAAAAGTGTTGTACGAATGTATACGTGCGTCTTGACAGCACTGGTCAGCAATCAATCGACTGCCGACATAACATGCCGCTTTCTGACAGGCTCCAATGCCATCGCAGCATATCGCATCTCCAGGCTTGACTGGCACCTCTCTGGCGGCCTTTCGATTCTTCATATGCTCGTTTCAGCTGCATCATCATACTCTCATGCGGCATCGACCGACACACTGCTCTACTTACCACACCAGTTTGCGATGCAGTCTCTGTGTTCCCAACACCCTGACTTGCAGAGTGGGCATTGGCCTGCACACATTGCAGAGCATTCAGGGGGAATCTAGAAGGACCGTGGCCGCCCGGCATAATGGTTCGTCTATGGGCGAGAAGAACCTGTCCGTTTCTCAGGTTACCCAAGAGATCGGATGAAGGCCAGTCCGAAATTTCAAGTGGACGGTAGCGTAATGCGCCCACACGTGCCACCTTGCCAGCGTCCCATTGGGACTTCGGGAAATGAGCCCGCGGAACTCTGGATACATGTACGGTCTGTGCAGCGGCGGCAGGCCTGGCTTTTGCAGCAGGAAAGGGGGGGGGGAGAAAAGTAGGATGTTTGTCTGCGGGAAGAACTTCAGATGGAAAGTCGGCGAGCCGAGGCCGGCGCCGGGGAGGCTTGGGAAGATCACATCATGCAAAGGAGAGTACCGACAAAGGCGGAATAGAACGCTTGAATCGCAAGAAGGGAAAGTTAAGGCGAGCGGCCCCCTTTCTGGACATCGTCCTCGTGTTTTTCATGTTTGCCGGGGGGGAAAGGGGGGCGGGCGGACCGAGTTCACGTTCCCAAAGGGACGAGCCCGGATGTTGACACTTTTAACCCGCACCCAGGAACACTCCAAAGCTGGTACTTCGCGGGCACTAGAAACAGGAAAAAATGTCGGCACAGACATCAAACCGTCACAAAGTACCAACGCGCGAGATCAACCCGGGATAAACACACTCTGGAGGGGGGGAAAGGCTATTTTCGACACGCGGTCTAGAGAACATGTTCCTGCCAAGACCGCATACATGGCACGCCTCTATTCCAAGATGACAGACGTTGTGAGCCGGCGCCTAACGAGGAGAGTCGTCTCGACAGCCAGCCGAATGCGGAAAAAGACCAGCGGCGAGAGCACAGATCAAGGGTGGGCTCTTGACAGGCGAGAAGCTGAGAAGGGCCTTTCGCTCCGCCTCGGTATGACGGGCCTAGGCCTGACGGGGCACCGCCAAAGTTATGGCCAAACGCAGGCTCTGGAAAAGAGAGGAGCAGAATACATGAATGTCTCCAGCCTGCCCCCCAGCCCATCCCAGCCGTGTCTGGGAAGGCAAAGCAAAATGCTGCGTGTGGTGGACCTACCTCCGAAGAGGAGGGCTTTTTGCTGCTGTGGCCGTGATTTTGGTACCAGCGAGACCCATTAAGTTTTGAACCCGTTTCAGGACCCCTGATGACGCTGTTTGATTGATGCGATTTGATCTAGGGAATTCCCAGAACGGCGGTCAACGGTTGGTGCATTACCCCTGCAATGACCCCAACTCGTGGCTGGTTGCGGATACAACGTAGCTGTCAACTGGAAGAGGCGTACTGTTGGTGGTAGGCTAAGGCAAAGAGCAATTTACCTCGGACGCGGCTCGCCTTTTGCCGGGCCACGGATGTTGTGGTGTATGCAGCTGTACATAGTACCATCGTCGAGGCGGCTATTACGTTCCGGAGCACCACGGAAGCGGAAGCTAACAACTCCCAGGTTGACGTTGCATCCTGTCATGTCACGCAACCCGGTCGGTCATCTCGTCTCGACGGTGACTGACGGTGGCTGTGGATGAGCAGCAAGGAAAGAGGTGGAGAGGAAAGACGGCAACGGGTGACGATGCAAGGGCCAAAGGAAACTATTAGCGGCTCGGTGAAGGACGAAGTAACGCAATATTGGATCTGCGACAGGGAGGAGGGAGAGAGGAAGCATGTGTGGGCTTATGGACAAGCAGCCCGTCTTATTGCTGAGTCAAACGCCGTCAGAGTTCGGCAGTGCGCAGATCATGTCATGTCCAACGTGTTTCTCGTTGCATGCGACGATAGAGGAGAGAAGGGAGAAATCAGCCCCATTCATTGATGAATAACAAGAACAGTTTAAACTCACCACGCACATTCTTGGCTAGACGGGCTGGGCGGGGGAAAAAAGGAGGTGGAAAACCCAGAACGGCGGACTCAGTTGATTAATCGGACCTGTCAACCAGGGGGAAACCAATATATCTGGCAGCCACCCACAATTCAAGCAATGGCGATTAATTGCATTTTGATTAAGTCACCACCCACATAGGCGTGTGTGACACGGCCGGCACTAAGCATCTTAGCCTCTCATTTCCTACCGTGTGGTTCTTCATGAGCTTGGTAGTATGAGCTTATGAGCTTATTACTACGACTCGCACTCGCACTCCCATAAACAAGTCTGCCGTTGTTGCTCTGTCACTACCTGTGAAATACTTGATCGGCTCTCTCGCCATCATCGGACGATGCTTAGCCAGAGATGCCGTAGATGCGGTAGAGGCCGACGACCCGATCGCTGCTCCTCTCCAAACCACCTAATGATCGTGCTTCCCCCCTCCCGAACATGTCATCCAGCCCGTCACGGCATCATGTCGCAACCCCCTTCCCTTTGCTCCCCTCATCATCCGCAGCTAGGGGATTAGAATCGAAACGAAAGCCTGGCCACGCGCATCCCCTAGCCATGCCGTGATGGAGGAGAGTATGGAGGAAGAGAGTGGGTAGCATCTCGACGTGCCGCGTTTTGAAAACATGCTAGGACCAGTTTTGCTGTGCTGGAGCTATCCGTGTCGGTGGTACTCTCCAGAACAGCAGACTACTGAGTAGCTAGGGTACAAGAGAGCCCAGAGAGAAAGAGAGAGAGAGAAAGGCCGATACGAAGAAAGAGACTGATGCAGGGATGTTTGATACCCTTGGCATTTGCTGGAGAGGGGCGCGCTAAGCTTCGAATGGGCATCTGGCACGCCACGGCGCGGCAGAAGGCCCCTTGTCGAAGCCATCTCGCCTCCAGATGGAACCCCTGTTACTATTCGAGAGAGGATCATCTCTTCTTCACTTTGCCTTTTGCTTCTTTCGTATTGTCGGGGGATAAGGTGAAAAGAAGTAAAAGCACATAGACTGGAGTCATTGAACCAGCTTTGATTGGGTTTGACTCGACTCAGCGCGACCACCCCCTCGGTCTCCAAGTGGGCGGCCAGGCGCATCGTGAAGCAGCATGAGTCGGGTTGCAGTGTAAGCACTCCACCCATTTCCGGGTGCCACCCTTTCGGTTGAGCAGCCGGGCAGAGGAGAACCTTCATCCTTTCCCTAGCGCCAATCTCCAACCCAGTTACATGAGACAACCACTGCATGTGAAGCCGATATTGGTGACGGAACCCGAGCACTTGCAATGGCTTGGACCACCGTGCTGGCCGTGGCGTCCCTGCTACACCAGGATGTAATCCGTCCCAAGTTTGAAGCATGATCGCCGTTAAGGGGATGCTGGTCCGAACTGGCCAACTCATGATCCCCGGGCACCGAGCACCTTTCAATCTCGTCCCATGATCATGTTTACTGCCCCCTCCGAGCGAGAGAGGGGCGAGAGAGGCCTGCGCCCCGGTACCGTTTGACGGAGGACATTGTCGAGGTGAGCAGAGCTGGGGGCATCACGGAGTATCATCGTCGCAGGCTGTCTCGGCCTGGCTGGCCCCTTGTCACCCATGATCCTTGGAGGCCCTTGGTCTCGCGGAAACAACTCGTCGACATCTCTGGGCTTCGCGTATATAATAGAGTTGACCCGAGCCTTCATCACATCTGTTTTCCTTCCTTCTTCATCCTGCAGCCAACAAGCACCTTTCTCTCTCTCTCTTCAATCTTTCAGTTCTGTGAACTTTTGACTTACATTCTTTCTTGTCTTCATCCAACTGCAAACCGCTAGCCGGCCATTTACAATCTTTCTTCACACTTTTAACAAATCTTTTTCGACACCCAGCTTCTAGTTTCAGAACAGTCAACATGTCTTCCACCAAGCTTTTCCTCATCTCCGCCATTCTGGCCTGCGTCGAGGCCCGTTTCGGCCAGGAGAACGTCCCCACTGCCGCCATCGCCTCTCTTCAGGCCGGCAGCCCCGGTGAAGCCGCTACCCTCTCCGGCAGCGTCCCCGGCACCCTCCTCGCTGCCGCCGACCCCTGCGCCAAGCTCAAGCTCGCCGACCAGGTCGCCGCCCTCGGTACTGGTGACGACGTCCTCGCGGCCGCCAAGGGCCTCGTCGCCGCTGAGCAGAACTTCAACCCCTTCGTCGTCAGCGTCCCCAACATCTGCGGCGATGCCTCCCTTCCTGCCACCCAGGCCCTCCGCGGCATCGTGCCCCTTGTCGACCCTTCCGTCGGCGGCTCCGACCTTGAGAACGCCAACTCCAAGACTTCGCTGACCAGCCCCTTCGACGCCACTGGTCTTTCCGTCGCCGACGTCATGAAGGCCCAGGGCTTCTCCAACTTCACCGTCAAGGGCGCCGCTGCTGGTGGCGCCGCTGCTGGAGGTGCTGCTGCTGGAGGTGCTGCTGCTGGAGGCAATGGCAGCGCCGGTAACAACAACCAGAACAAGGACCAGAACAAGGACAAGGGCAACAACAACGCCAGCACTGGTAACAACAACGACAATGCCGCTGATGACTGCAACGGTGGCGCCGCCGCTGGCGGTGCCGCCGCTGGTAACAGCACCGCCGAGGCCGGTAACGACAACCAGAACAACAAGGACCAGAACAAGGACCAGGACAACGACAAGGCTGATGCCGGCAACAACAACAACAACAACAACAACGACGCTGGTGCCGGTGCTGCTGCTGGTGGCGCTGCTGCTGGTGGCGCTGCTGACTTCGGCAAGTGCACTCCCACCATCGACTTCCAGCTCGGACGTCCCGGCCGCAAGGCGACTGAGGGAACCTTCCTGCCCACCGACCCCCTCGTTGCCCAGGGCCAGCAGGATGCCCTCAACCCCAACATCATCACCAACCGGGTCTGCGACCAGCTCACCAACGTCTGCGGTGCCAACGCTGCCGCCAAGTCCCTCTGCAAGAGCGCCCAGGCCCAGATCTTGGCCTCCGGTGACAAGAGCGCCGACGTCGCCACCAAGTTCAACAGCCTCCTCGGCTTCTAAGCGCCTCGAGAGCTTGTGAATGCGGTGAATGGGTGTTAGAAGTCTGCTAGGATTTCTCGCATGGGGTGCTGGGAGGTTGTTGTTCTTTCTTATGATGTCTCTATATTCTTTTTCTTACATACTCCGGCCTACGGGCCGAGGAGCAGGGCAATGTTTGTACGTTACGAAAACGGTCGGCCCAGGAGCTTTGGGTTCACTTGGCTGGGTTTGGTGTCTATCGACATGATAAGCTGGGTGTTCTTGAGTAGGGTGTTTGAATCAACTGGTTTGCTTGACAAAAATGAGTTCCCAATGCATTGTGATACAGTCGGTGACTTCTCCATCGTAGTCATGAGCTTCTCAGAATGGTGGGACAAACGGGCCAGCCCGTTTCATATTGCCTTCGAGGACGGAAAAGGGGGTTAGAGAAACCAAACAGGCGGGTCCATCATAACATCTTACATCAGAAATGTTATGTATATGCAAGCGTCCAGCCGGCTGTGGTGAAACATACAACACATGAACTAAGGAAATATGATAAGGGGTCAAGGTTAGATGTCGGTAAGTGTAAGTCTTCGGTGAATAATCTCGGTGAGGATAAACTTTGGTGGGCCAAGCGAGATGAAAGAACTCAATGGATAGCATCCCCCTCCTTGTCTGGACGAATGACTCGTCAGGTTCAAGTGGCTCGAATCCACCCATCTCCCCCCCTGATGCCTCTCACCGACAATTTGTGTGTGTGTGTGTGTGTGTGTGCTTAACAAAGGCTCAAAGACAATAACAAAAAAAAAAAAGAAGGTTGGCACAGCCACCAAGAGGGGTTTGGCGCGGTGGCTTCACATTGCAACAGCAGGGACTAGGAGTTGAAGAGACAACCTCTAACTTGGGTTTTTGGCGTTTCGCGCAGCGGGTGTGAACTCTATTACTTGACATCTCGGAACTCGAGATAGTCTAATCTCGTTCCCGGCCGGGCCAAAAAGAAAAAAGGTCTCGGGCGTCCAGGGTCCGAAGCGCCAGCCACGATGTCGTTCCAACCACCGAGGCCGACGGCTCTTGAACAAGACGGCCGGGATCGTGATGACGGCCGTGCAGAGTTCCGTCGCTCGACAAGCAGCGGCCTCCGCTCGTTCCTCCCGCCGCTCAACTTCATCACGCTGCACTACGCCTACTTCATCGGCACGACCCTCCTCGCCTCGGTCATCTTCTACGTCTCGTCCAGCCCGCACGGCAGCATCGGCTATGTCGACTCGCTCTTCCTCGTCGTCTCCGCCATGACCGAGGCCGGCCTCAACACCGTCAACCTGAGCGAGATGACCGTGTGGCAGCAGGTCATGCTCTGGCTGCTCATCATCGTCGGGAGCTCCGTCTGGGTCTCCATCTGGACGGTCCTGGCGCGGAAGCACGTCTTCGAAAAGAGTCTCCGGGAGGTCGTCCAGGCGAGCGACGAAGAGAGGGACCGGCAGCACGGCCGGCTGCCCATCTTCAACGGCCGTGATGCCGCGTCGAGGGGCAAGGGCGGGGCAAGCATGACGGGGGTGATGGAGCGGGGGGTTTCGAGCCAGGCCCGGGCCGGGGACAACCACATCACCATCGACACGCCCGAGAACCTCACGCGGCGTTCGACGCACTCGGTGTCCTCGAGCACCAAGCCGACCCGCCCCTGGCTTTCGTTTCTCAGCTCCGCCAAAGAAGGCCGCAACTCCCAGTTCCACTCTCTCACGGCCTCCGAGCGCTCCCGTCTCGGCGGCCACGAGTACCGCGCCCTTCGTCTGCTGTCAGTCGTGGTCCCGGTGTACTCCATCCTCTGGCAGGTCCTCGGCAGCCTGGCCATCGGAGCCTGGATAGCGAACAACATGCCGACGGTGGCGACGTCCAACGGCGCGAATCCCTGGTGGGCCGGCATCTTCTTCGCCGTCTCGGCGTTCAACAACTCGGGCATGTCGCTCCTCGACGCCAACATGGTGCCCTTCCAGCAGGCTTACTTCGTGCTCATCACCATGGGCCTGCTGATCTTGGCGGGCAACACGGCGTACCCTCTGTTTCTCAGACTCATCTTTTGGTCTGCGTTGAAGGTGCTTCGCCTTACCACAGGGGAAGAAATACACGTTGAGCTGAAGAGCACGTTGGAGTTCATCCTCAGATACCCGCGACGGGTCTATACAAACTTGTTTCCATCCAGACCAACCTGGTGGCTATTCTTCATGGTAGTACTGACGAATGGGATCGACTGGATGGCATTTGAGGTCCTCAACATCGGTAACCCCGTCATTGAGGCCATTCCCGTCGGAGCCCGCGTGCTGGACGGCCTGTTCCAAGCCATTGGTAAGAAATACACCCCGAATCTCTCACGCCGCCGCTAGTCTGTATTTATGGTCTGCTGATCATCACTTAGCTGTCCGCTCGGGTGGTTTCTATGTCATCCCCATTGCCTCCGCCTACCCAGGGCTGCAGGTTCTGTACGTCATCATGATGTACATCTCCGTCTACCCCGTCGTGATAACGATGCGCCACTCCAACGTCTACGAGGAGCGCTCTTTGGGTATCTACGCCGACGACGACGACGACGACGACGCCCCGAGCCGCTCCTCCACCGACGAGAAAAAGCACGGCGGCGGCAACGGGCTGCTCACCAAGCTGATCAGGGACAACCTCAGCTTTGCCGGGGTGGGCGCGGCCAATCCGAAGAGGGCCGACGGCCTCGAGTCCCGGACGAGCTTTGTGAGCCAGCAGATCCGCGGACAGCTCGCCCACGATCTATGGCTGCTCACCCTCGCCGTGCTCATCATCGTCACCATCGAGACGTCGCATTTCCTCGAGGACCCGGTGCACTTTTCCGTCTTCAACGTCGTCTTCGAGGTGGTCTCCGGCTACGGGTGCGTGGGCATCTCGGTAGGCCTGCCCAAGGACGCCATGAGCTTCTCCGGCGGCTGGCATGCGGGGAGCAAGCTGGTGCTGTGCCTCGTCATGCTGAGGGGACGTCACCGGGGACTCCCTGTCGCCCTGGACCGGGCCGTGAGACTACCTGGACAGAGGCTGTTGGAGGACGAGGAGGAGGATTGGAGGTTGAGACGGGCCAGAAGTGGGCGGGGGGTGGAAAGCAAAGCGGTTTAGGGAGTCCGACGAGCAGATTTGGTTTCTTCCGACGTTGAAGATGACACCGAGATGCCCGGCTGTGGAAATAATCTTTCTCATTGAGCAAGACCATGGAGCTAAGTGTGGGCGAATGCACGTCGCATCAGCACGGAAGTCGATGAATCTAAACCCAAGCATGCCAATGTGTTTCAACTGTTCCACAGAATAATGAGCGTGATGGGACAACTGAGAGGCGACACTGAAGTTCTTAACTGATGATGGATGATCATACACAGGGCTACAGCATTACCTAAACAGAATCATTCAACTGAGAAACAAGCAGTGACCGCGTATTGGTTTCAAGAAGGTCTACATAGGTGTGATTTTATGATCATGGTATCGACAAATCGCAAAACAATTCCCTCAGTCCAAAGAAATCCTCCCCCATATCCAAGTCAGCGTCAACCATGAATTGGTCCAGTTCTTCTGGATTAAGGGTCCAAAATGCCTGATAACAGAGACCATCCATGCAATGCCGATATGAAAGACGTCCAGTCTGGAGGAGGACATCGGCGACCTCTTTGTGACCTCTCCACACAGCCCTCATGAATGGAGTGAACCCTCCTTTGTCTTCGAGATTGACGTCGGTAGTGCGCTTATCGCAAAGCGACGCCACCACTTTGACGCGCCCCTTCCTAGCAGCCGCGGATATTGGCGTCCGGCCCGCATTGTCTCTTGTGTTGACGTCGATCCCGTCTGCATCGAGAAGCATTTTGACCACCTCATCAAACCCACACGCAGCCGCCCAGGACAACGAAGTCCGACCACCTTTGCATCTTGAGTTGATACTAGCCATGCCTGTGTCAAGAAGCATCTTAACAACTCCCTCGTGCCCAAACGAAGCCGCCCGAGATAGCAGCGTTTTGACCAGGTACGGGCCTTGGACGAAAACTACGAGAGAGTCAGCAGTTTGGCCCCGTCGGACGCCCTTTTCTCACCATAAGCTGCCCAAGATAACGGCGTCCAGCCATTTATATCTCTCGAGTCCATGTCAACCTTGCCTGTATCGACAAGTATCTTAACAATTCCCTCGTGCCCATTTGTAGCTGCCCAAGAGAGTGGCGTCGAGCCATCGTTGTGTCTTGAGTTAACATCAACCTTGCCTGTATCGACAAGTGTCTTAACAATTTCCTCTTGCCCATTTGTAGCTGCCCAAGAGAGTGGCGTCCAGCCATCGTCATCTCTTGAGTCAACGTCAACCTTGCCTGTATCGACAAGTATCTTAACAATTTCCTCTTGCCCATTCCCAGCTGCCCAAGATAGTGGCGTCCGGCCATTAGTGTCTCTTGAGTCAACTTCAACCTTGCCTGTGTTGAGAAGTATCTTCAAAGACTTCTTGTACCCATCTATAGCTGCTGAGGATAGTAGCGTCAAGCTATTAATGTCCCTCAAGGTAACTTTGACCTTGCCTGTATCAAGGAGCATCTTAACAACTCCATCGTGCCCATTCATAGCTGCCCAAGATAGTGGCGTCCAGCCATAGTTATCTTCTGAGCTAGTGTTAACCTTGCCTGTGTCAAGAAGCATCTTAACAATAACTTCGCTGCCCTTCTCGGCCGCAAAAGATAGTGGCGTCCAGCCATTATTGTCCTTTGAGTTGACGTCAACCTTGCCTGTATCGAGAAGCATCTTAACGATTGCGTCGTTGCCCTTCTCAGCTGCGAAAGACAGTGGCGTTCCGCCGCCATCAGACTTTGCATCAATGTGCGCCTCGGTATGCTCCATAATGATTTGCAGAAGTCCCTGTAGGTCGTGTAGGGATGCAATATGCACCAGACTAGCTGCTCGAACTTTCCGAAACCATGCATCACTCTCAAAAAATTCAATTGCCTTTACCAATTTGTCCACTAAGGAACGCGAAGGCCAACCGAAAGATTCGAGGATGTCTTTTGCATATACGTCTGCCGCCTCGCCCCGCTTGGCGTGAGATGCCCAGTATAATACTGCATAACGCAAAAATGGGAACTTGAAGGCATGATCTATGCAGAAACCCCCGGCGTCTGAAGAGACAGTCATTTTGAAGTAACTGATGCATTGAAAAAACAAACGGCAATTGACGGTAGGCGCTACCAATCTGGCTGTTTCAATGGTATCATCGAGAGCCGACAACCCCCGCTCGATGAAGAAATCTCTGACTGACTGATGGATGAACTGAATAACGTGAGATTTGTCGGAAGACGCTACTTCTGCAAGTCCACAGCTAAGGGATGTGACTCTCCGGTGCATGTCATCCTTTGAAATAAATTCGTCAGATTGCTCGCAATCGTCGAGCGTTTGGGTTGGAATGTCTGGATCAATCGTCATTGCCCATGGCAACTCATACATTGTCAATGGCCGAATCGAGAAACACACCCATTGCACCAGTCGTAGGGTCTCAGGACGGTCCTCTGAGTTCAAGCCTTGAAGCAAGTCGTAGTAAAGGTCGTCCAGTTGCTGCGGGACTCGCTCAACCTCACGCTTGATTTTGCTTGGAGATTTGCCGTTGCGCTTCATTTGTAAAACGCGGTTGACGACGAGGTGGGCCCACATAAATACCCCTTGCGCTCGCTGGCTCAAGAGGCTTCGGATGTCCGAGTCTTGCTCTGACGGAAGATGGGTTCGAACATACGTATCGATGTCCCTGCCATTTTCCTGATCAATATGTATCGTTGATCCACCTTCAAGCTCAACGATAGGGTAATGGCGGCAGGAAAAGCAGATGCTGAATTGCGAATCTTCTAATGAAAGGCCTGAGAGAGTCTTCTTGAAGAACTCTATAAGCTGAACAGCAGGTTCTTCTCCACATTCGTCGAGCGCATCGATGAAGACGAGAACCGCACGTTGCTTCAGAATCTTCGAAAGCGATGACTGGAAGAAAACCTGCAGCATTGGAACATGCCATTGCCATTCTTTTCCAGCTTCGCCTACGGTTTTCACGTTCACGCCGAAAGTGTCGATCAAGTCAGAGAGTGCTCCCGGAACGTGATTCAACAGCTGATGCAGGAGGGACCGAAAGAGGCCGAGCTGCGACTTCTGCAATTCATGGCCACGTCCATGGAAAAAGAAAGAAAGAACCAGCGGCTGCGTCTCGTAAAGATGTGGGACCTTTTCGAGGGCATATTTCATTAGAGTCGACTTGCCAGCTCCAGGCTTGCCTTTGATCCATAACAAGCCCCGATGTTGGCGAATCCAGGCCGTGAGAGTCTCATGGCTCGGGAGCCATTGGCAGGTACCGGCGGCAGCAGCATCTATGCCGTTCTGTCGACCATCGATTTCCTGAAACGCCAGCGACCTCATACAATCTTCTACTCTTTTGGAATAGAGATTCTCAAAGCCTGACTGAGAAAGTCAGCCTTTGCATGGCTACACCGCGGAGAGTGACGTACTATGCTCGGTAAATCGTCTGGGCACGTCTAGGATTGCCCTTTCAACGCAATCCATGAGTCTTCTTCTTACTGTAGGGTAGTCGCCCTGGCCTCTGGAGCTGTATTTGACGATCCCAGAGTGGTCCGCGTTAAGTGCAATGTTGTCTTCGTCAGCTACTGCTACTAGGCCTGTGGCAGTGGCAGACTTTTGTGTCACTAGCAAGGAAGCCGGACCCGTCTTTCGCCAATTACCTTCGTCGTCACGCTATAGTACAAATATCAACACACGCCTTTCTGTTTTTCAACAGTATGGCTTACCTGTACAGTTGGGCTGAGCATACGCTCAAAAAACGACATCACTCGATAGTGATCCTTGCATTTCTCAGCAAAGTCATCGGCAAGTCTCTTGAGGAAGGTCGAAGCTTCAGAGTCGTTATCGACAATCAGGTCGTGCACCAGAGCGTCGTTCGGTTGGCCACGGACCATGGTCCTGAGCTGTTCATTACGCAGGCCGAGATTCGGAACGCCGAAAAATAGAAGGGCGTAGCATGCCTTGGCAAGGTCTGCGATATCAACATCGCGTGAATTGCGAGCGCGGATAAGAGCCTGTGATATAGTTTAGCCTACTGCTTCACAGCGGGTTAGAGAAGCACCGCACCTCTTTGATAAGCAGGCCACCTAGGCTATGTCCAATGAAGATGAGCGGCCGGCGAGTTGTCTGCTTGATATCAGCGCAAGTTCACACTTCTCCTAGGCTCACTTACACCGTCTCTTGCGCGAAACGCAACGAGTCGCTCTACTAGAATTCCGCCCAAATCCTCGATGGATTGCTTGGAGCGGCTGCCTGGCAGCGTCGTGTCGTAGCCATAGATCAGCACTCGGATATTGGGCACATCCTTGGGCAGGAAGTCCCGCAGCCAGACGTCATCATTACGAGGGGATTTCCAAGACCCGAGCGGGTGACTTCCAAGACCAGGCACGGCGATGATGCTGCGAGCTACGGGTCAGCGGTCACAATGCGGTGCGGCAGCAGGAGAACAGAATCCATGGGACAAGGCTGATGGACGTAAGGGGGCACTTACTCTACCGCTGCGCCGTTGGTGTCTTCGTACAAGGGCGTGATGCCGTCAAAGTCACAACTATAGCTGTAAGGGAAACCCTTGCCGGCTCGGGTCAACCGCGAACATAAGTCGTTACCCGAGAGAGTTGTGGTGGCCGTGACGGTAGCACACACGTGTTTGTTGTCACTGTGCCCAAGGGAACGACGGGTAAAAGCGGCGGCGCGCAGATCAGCATCGCGCTCAGCAATGGACTGGATGTTGCGGTCGAGGTCATCAATGTGGTCCACTGGAATGTCGTCGACCCGAAACGTCAGGCTTTTGAGGGGCTTCGGTGGCCTCATGACAGTTGGGGCGGGTGATACTGCCCAACGACTGGCTGCAACAACCGCCAGACAGACGATAATTGGGACGACCAGTCCAAGCAAGCTGTACCAAAGACCAGATTCAGACCAGATGTCGCGTGCCATGGCGAAGGGGGGGGGGGGGGGGGGGGGGGGGGGGCCCAGGGCGGCCTATCGGGAGTACGTGGTGAGGCAGTAGGATATGTTTTGTGGAGTGTCATGAGGGTGATGCTGATGCCAAGGACCACGTGACAGGACATTGGAGGCGGAGAGGCCTGGTTGTGCATCAGTTTAGCCGCATCCTGTTATCTCGGCTGGCGATACAACCTAGTCGACAAGGATTCAACGGCCAATGATTGGAGTGGAAGTTGAAAGCTGAAGACAGGATCCGTACTTATGCATCTCTTATTGCTGCTATCAGAGCAGGCAACCAATCAAAGTCAACTCGAATAACTGAGTAGCCACAACTCCACAATTAGAGGTTTTAGGGAGAGTATCGCAACTGTCCAATACCAGTGGTTGCACAGATATATCCAAAGATAACTCCTTTGATTGGTCGAGCGAACAACTACACGTTCTTAACTCGTAGTACGCCACGTGCTGGGTTGCCCTAAGCGAGCTTACAGCACCTTGCATAGATATAGGTCCAAAGCTAAGAATGACAGATCCGCGTGGCGTCTGTGGGGTAAACCCGATCCGGCCGATGATGCTCGATGACAGCTCGACCGGCCGTCGAATTACCCCTGGAAAGAGAGCTGTGCCGTGTAATTCGACCAGCGGGCAACACTCAATCATGATGTCAACACGCGCGCATATCCAAAGATTGGAGACCACAAGAGCCAATACAAATCGGCCGAGTACGGAGATAGATGGATATATATCTAGTTCATCATGTCGTGACTCGTCCGAACCAACGCCATCTGAAGATATAAACCCCCGAGAGCGCCTTGCGTGGCACCGTTAGGTACACGTGCATCATCAGTTCCCTTTTTGTGGCTTTTCTTTTCCTTCTTCCACCCCCATTCCCCTCCCTCTGTGGAATTTACACTGTAACCGCATCGTCCGTGCGGGTCCATTTCTTATTCTCCCGCATTAGAAGCATCATCAATTACCCTCTCGTGATGTCATCATCAGCGCGTCATTGGACCCTGCGGCTGCCCTCGCTCAGGTCGTCCGTGTTGTCACGGCAGAAGCAGCAACAAAACCTCCGGGCCTCGCATCTCGTCCCGTTGCCAATTGAGTTTGTCAAACAAAAGACCATCCTAGCAGCACCTTTACCGTCGAGATCCATCCCGGCACCCGTCTCACCACGCTCCATCTACACGACAGATCCGTCTTCGAGCCACCACCACCACCACCACATCCACTCCTCCGCCGCCAACATGACGAAGCAGGCGGAAACCAACTCGACCCAGAAGACGGAAAACAGCAGGGACGAGGACTGGAAGACCCAGGCCCCCTACGTGCCCCCCGGCAAGTCACACCCCCACGGCGACAGCTTCCAGAAGAAGATCCGCGGCGCCTGCCAGTGCGGCCAGGTCTCGTACTGGCTGCAGAAGGACAAGCCGCTCGCCTCCAAGTACTGCCACTGCAAGGACTGCCAGAAGATGCATGGTCAGTTCTTCCTTTCCCTCTCTTTCGACCTGCCTCGCTCGGCAGTAAGTAAGTTGTATAACATCCCGCTGACACACACACACAACCCCCAGGCGCCCCCTTCCAGTGGGCCGCCATCTTCCACAAGGAGGACCTCGCCTTCGACAAGGGCGTCGACGGCCTCGCCTTCTACTCCTCCGGCAAGAACCTCCAGGGCCACGACCTGCCCTGCAAGGTCAGCTGCGGCTTCTGCGGCAGCCGCATCATGGACGAGGGCCGCAACATGGTCCTCGTCTTCCCCGGCCTGCTGCACTTTGACGGCGAGCAGAAGCGTGACAACTTTGAGGTCCAGTGCGTGCTTCCTCCCTCCTTCACTGAACCCCTCCGCATCGGAAAGCCAGCCGTGGTGGGTAATGACCGCTAACCCCCCGTTGTTCCAGGAAGCACATATTCTACGGCCAGAGGGTCGTCGACATGCCCGACGGGAAGCCCAAGTGGAGCGGGCTGGACGAAAAGAGCGAGCTGATGGAGGAGGATGTCGTCGACGTCAAGCATAAGAAGCAAAAGACGGGCAATGATGACGAATAACCAAATCAAAAATACTCATGTACCTGGTATGAGCACATGTACATATCAAATAGGTTAAACAAAAAAAGAACCACGGATATCCCGAAACGCCCGACGCCACATCAACATCATGCCCGGTGTATGCCTTTCTATCCCCAAAATCATGTCCAAGTCATAATGATGCATATGTAACATCACCAATTGAAGCTTTCTTGAAAGTACTCGACCCCCGACCACCCCCGGTCGAGCATCTCGACGACGGACCGCCTCGCATCGTCGGCCATGACGCCCGGCCCGCACGCCACCACCGCGAGGCTGGCCTTGCTCGCCCCAATGGCGGCCTCCTGCACCTCCTCGCGCACTTCCGGCCGGCCGTGGAGCAGGCGCACCTGCTCCGGCCAGTCGTCAGGTCGCGCGGCGCTGGCCGCAGGGCTGTGCTGCGTGAGGTAGACGTCGACCGACAGCTTCCCGCTGTCGAACGCATCTTCAAAGTCCTGCTTCAACACGTCGGCGGCGAAGCTCAGCTCGCGGACCGCCCAGACGATCTTGACCGACCGCGCCCTCGACCCGTCCTTGGTGAGCTCGGCGAGGTGCGCGAGCGGCACCACGACGCCGCTGCCCCCGACGATGAAGAGCAGGCCGTCGAACTGGTCAAAGGGCTGCGTGTGGCCGTAGGGCCCTTCGATGAGCACGCGGAGGCGCGCCGGGTGGGGCCACGCGGCCGTGGCTTTCTCGCGGAGGCGGGCGGTGAAGCTGTCGTACGGGCGGATGAGGAACGTCATCGAGGGCTCGCCCCTCTTCGGCTGAAGAGCGACCTCGGACACGGGCTCCTGGTCCTGCTCGCCCGCGACGAGCAGGGGAGTCTCCTCGCAGGACGATTTGCGGCCCGCGCTCAGATTCGTCGTCGTGCGGGCCATGGTGAACGGGTGACTCTCCCAGAAGCACTTGTCGCTGAGGACGTGAAGGTAGTAGTAGGTGCCCGGCTTCGGCTCGTAGAAACTGGTGGGGTAGGGGACGCTGAGGCGTACGATGTTGGAGTTTGTGTCGTAGCTCGCGAGGGCGAAGGTGTTCCAGAACCTGAGGTTGAAGGCCAATGTCCTCGCCATGCGTAACACGCGGTCGCCTATCCAGATGTAAAAGGGTACCCAGAATAGGAAGTCATACTCCCCGTTGAATATGGAGACGTGGCTGTGGGTTGTTAGTGTGAGACGGCACAGCATGTTATTTGATGCGCAACATACCCAAGCATGGTGATGAGAGTAAGAATAGACAGAAGGATGTGGAGGATTAGGAACAGCTCGTACTGTTTCCGTCGCATCCAGTACACCGACGCTCCCACAAGAGCGACCATGCCAAAAGTTGCCTACGATCTGTCAGCAAAGACCACACAGTGGTTTGTATTGCGACACCTACCAGCCAGCCTGCCCACCAGAACATGATCTTCCAATACGACACGAAATACGCCAAGCCACCGTCTAGAAAGCTGTCAGGAAACTATGGGACGTGGAAAGTTGACGCGAGGCCTACCGTCAAAGACGAGGACGACGTAGCCGACGGAGTGGATGACGGCTTGCAGTGTCGCTACACGGGCGACCCAGCGGTGGAAGTTATTGTACGTGCCAAAGTCCCAACCGGTCACCCACATGAGTAGGTTGTTCCGCATACCGAACAGCCAGATGATGGGGAAATTGGCAAAGGAAATGATGCCGGTCCTATCGGCGACGTAACGCCACACCAGGTGATAGACCGTGGGCCAGCTAGGAAACGTGAGTCGGCGTGCGCCACCGAATGCGAAAGAGCATGTCACTTACTACATGTGGCCGCGGAATATCTTGTAGCCGTGGATGCAAAAGAAGATATTCACGACAATAAAGGCCAAGATGGTGAGACTCTGGACCCGAGGCGGGATCGTACACCAGCCTAGGTTCTGCGAGCAACGGTACCCAAAGGTGGCGGGGACGGTGATGTAGCGCTTGAGCCACAGGGCGGGTGCGTGGCAGATGCCGGGCGTGTTGCGCGGATCGTACTCTCGCTTTTGCAGGTCCCCGATGGCCGAGACGAGACGAGATCCCAGCCCGATAGCGATCACGATGAACCAAAAGACAATCACGTAGAAGCTGGCACGGCGGGTTAGGAAATGTGGTACAACGGGGACAAGCCAGCGACGAACCCGTATCTGAAATGGTACCCGTAAGTGTACTTGACGGAATCCTGGATATGCGTCAGTCACATGTGATACGCATCTCAAGGGGTGTCAGTCGTACGAGAGTGTCAGCCCAGATCTGATAGAAGGCATCCGCAGGCAAGACGATCTCATTAAGCACGGTCTTAGCGACGCCCTCTTCCTTAGTCAGCCGTCTCAGACCGGCAATCTCTTCGCTCGAGTAGTTGGCAATGATCTCGAACGGCGGCAGCGACGTGTTCATGGATGTCTGGCAGGTGTGATTGAGGTCACTCAGCCCGGCGATCCGGTGCATCAGGTCGCAGTGCAGGTCGGCGCATAGGTACATGGACGTGATGTACAGGCGGCTCTCGCACGAGGTGATGAGCTTGGCCTTCTGGAAGTCGGTCCCGTTGTACGGCCGAGTGTCGTTGAAGCGCGCGGCGCCGAGGGCGTACGAGCACGAGTCGAAGCAGATGTCGCCGGGTCCCAAGATGCCCGCGGCCGAGTGTCGGAAGAGGCACATGGCAGCGAGGAGCGTAGATAGCAGGATCCGGTGCACCGCCAGACGCGGGGCCGAAGCCGACCACGACAACAGGACGCGCATTCTCACGGTCGAGAAGAAAGGGTTCGCATCGATGAAAGGCAATAGGCAACCGACCGTAGTAAGAACACAGACTGTCCCGGTGGCAAGTGCGTCTCGCAGAGTGATAGTGAGAGAGCAAAAGTTGCCAATCCCTAAATATAGCGGGAGGGGAAAAGCATGGCGGAAGTTCGGGAAGTTAAAAAGTGCGTGGATGGATTTGATCTTATCAGATCATCTGATTACGCACTCCGGACCCACTTTAGACGTTGACGCTACCTGAACCGGTTAGATACATGTGCATGTACGTATCTAAAGTAGGTAGGTATCTAAGTGCCTATCGCGATATCACCTGATCCATCAAACCGCCGGCATCGGCTCGCCTGCAACATCGGGCCCATTGCGCTCATAACTAAGTGGTACATCCATGGAATGCGAAATCTGTTCAGGTGGGTTTTAGCGTCACTTGGAACTCATCCTGCAGGTTTCCTGTGAGTCCAACGTGTACAACTGAAGTCCTGGTATGGAGATGCTGTGTCGCATTTCGAAGGCTGTGCAGAGGACTATCCAGTTGCCGGTCTTTGGCATCGCCCCGTATCATGCTGTCTATGAAGCCGCGAGCAACTATGACTTCTTCAAAGAGTGCACATAGATGGGTACAGTCATCATGACTCCCTCTACCTGGGCCTGCACTTGAGACATGATGCAGTAACTCCGTGTTTCCACCCGTTATTGTCTTTGCCGAGAACCGAGCCAACGCATCTTGTGGCTTAGTGACACTAGGGTTCACCACAGTATTCAAAGAATAGCTTTGGAAACCCTGAGATTCGATTCTCATAAGCTTATCAGCATTCCATTCCGGGCAGCACAAATACCTGTATCACTGGCACACTGCCCTCCCACGCCTTCATTCATGTAAGTGACATATCCAACCATTCCATCCATCTCCGAGGTTACGAACTTTCGCCCAACTTTTATTCTAGTCCCGGAAGTCATTAGAACTTGAGTATCAGAGCTTAGCCCCTGAATATGGTGAGGAGTTTCTTACTTCTCCATGGCAATAATGCTTACCGTCGTAGTAGGTTGAGGTGCATGGTAAGCCTGTTTTTGAATGGGAGTGTTTCCTGTTTTTTTGCAGCCGGTCACGCCGCGGACAAGATGGCCGCAAACGCAGGATATAGCATGGCAGACCTGAAAGAAGATGGACGACGGAACCGGGAAAGAAGACTTCAAATTCGTCAAACCTTTACATATAAACTCTCCCTCCCAATAAGATGGCGTCCGTGGCCTTGGGATCCCTCTCCTCCCATCATCAACAAAAAAGCCTTCGAACCCTCCGAAACCAAGAACGTAAGCGCGGCGCAGAACTTTCCGGCTTAGTCGCAGTCGTCGCAGAACGCAAGACAGGCGAACTGGCATGACATCCGCTGCAGCGACTCCTGGCGGCCGGGGCCGCTATAGTCTAGGGCCGCGGAAAATCACGTCAGAGCTTTTTTCCTCTTTTCTATAATCACGATCCACCAGAGACTGGAAAGAGAAGCCGGTTGTTTACTCACCGTCCTGGCAGGACATGGTGCAGGTCAGGCAGGTTCCCTGGTAGGGGGCGTTCTTGCAGCCGGCCATGGCCGAGGGGACGACGGCCGCCGCGATGAGGATGAAGGTCTTGGAGAAATGCATTGTTTGAGGAGGACCGAGGTGGGGACCTGGTGGGTTGGTGTAAGTTGAGTAAGTAGGTTATGCTTTTGATGTTGTGCCTGTTGTTGATGATGTTGCACTCGTGTCGTTTGGTTTCTGGAGCGTCGGAGGGTATTTATACCTTTTCTTTTCTTTTTGTCTCTTTCTATCTCTCTCCTTTGATTCTCTATTTCTCTCTGCTCCTCGCATCCGTCAGTATCACTCTTCGCTACCCAGGCCATGCCATTGGCTGGCGATGCGTCGCCTGAATCCTGTGCCTGGCCTGCGCCGCAGCTGAGACCGGGCTGGAGCCATGGACAAGACCATCCTGCCCGCACAGAAGGATCCTAAACGTTACCCAGTACCCCCAGACGTAGTGCAGCGCTTACGCTTGTGGATCTAGAGTTATAAATGTTGGTATTACAGGGATTGCAATCGTAAAGCAGTAATAGTTTGATTAACTACTAGTTGCTTGTTAAGATAGATAATAGGAAAAAGAAGAAGAAGTTATTACTATAGATATTTATAGTAGTGTAAGTAAGCCGCTAAGGTAAGTTATGTAATAGTAAATTATATAACTATAGATTAGCTTTACTATTAAACAGTTAAATATCTTAATACTAATAACTTTCTAAAGTAAAAGAAAATTACTATAAATAGCCTGAATACTACTTAGTAGCTAAAAAGCTTAAAAACGTAATAAAAATTAAAAGCCTAAAAGTATTTAATACTTTTTATCTATATAATTTGTTATGTAGCTTAAGAAACCTATCTCTTTATACTAATCTAAACTATTATATTTCTAACTAGTTATTTTAGCGCCTTATTAGGTAATAATTTAGTAAATCTATTAGTAGGATTATTATTACCTTATATTTATTATACCTTATAGACCTTATATTACTTATATAACTACTAAAAGGCTATAATATTAATTATAAGCTTTTTCTTTTTTATAGTCTTAAGCTTAATAAGGCACTTATAAAGTAAGTATAAGTTAGTATAAAGGATTATTAGTATATATAGTAGCTTAAGGTAGTTAGTAATTATTATAATAGTTATACTAAGTGTATAAGTAATATTAGTACTAGTAACTATACTATAGATCTTAGAGGCTAGTATACTTTAGGTAACTTACTTATATTTTATTAAGCTAAAGTAAATAATATTACTAGTTATAGTAAATTTATTACTTATAGTAGTACTTATAGGTGCTTTATTAGTAAGAATAATAATAAATCCTAGCTATAAAGTAAAGTCCTTATTATTTATAAATAATCTATTTATAAAAATAAAAAGCTTTATAAATTTAAGGTTAAGTAAGTAAAATAATAGACTATAGTTAAGGTTATTTATTTATTATATAATATAATAGTTAAGTGCCTTAATCTTATTTATATTAGGTAATTAGTATTATACTATAATAAAGTAGTTAAAGTACGCTTTAGGCTAGTAGACTAACGTAATATATACACTATAGGCCTATTACTTAACGTACTACTTAAGTGCTTATAAAGATTTTTTATTAATAAGTTAAAGTCTTTTACTTTAGCCTTTTTACTAGAGAAGGAGCTTCCCTTTAGTAGTTAGAGATACTATACTACTATTAAAGGTAAGTAGGTTATTAATAGTAAGGATTTACTTCTCCTTAGTAGTAAATATAGCCTTAGTAAGCTTATTAGCCTTATAAGTAGAGAAGGATTTATCTAAAAAGGTAATAGTATTATTAGTCTATATACTAATAATCCTAAAGTCTAGGCTTTTTATATTAGTAATTAGTAAGTATAAATTAAAGGTTAAAGTCTTTATCTAAAGCTTTTCTTTATAGTAGTAACTATATATTACCTACTAGTAAGTGCCTACCTCTATAATACTATATAATAGCTTTACTACTTATATAATAGTGCTTTTTAAATAGAGGTCTTATATTTATAATAAAAGGTATATAAGAATTATATAATTTAATAAGGTAGTTAACTATATATATGCCTAAGTAATATTATATAACTAAAGTAAGAAATTATTATTATTATAAATAAAAGATAAAGTAAAAGTAAGAATAAGGCGCTAGCTAGCTTACTAGATTATAAGTAACTAAGTAAGAACTACTTTTTTACTATTATTAGTATATTCTTAGATAATAAGGCAGGATTTCTTATATAGTTTTTTATTTTAGCTTTTTACTTTATTAATAATCTATAATTTAAATATTTATACTCTAGCGTACTTATTCTTATTATATTAAATAAAGTAAAATACCTTATAAGTAATAAGCCTTTTAATCTTAGTAGTAGTTACTTACTTAAAGGGCTTCTTTAGAGTAGTAATAATACTTTTTTTTTATAGCTTAATTAATAATAGTTAGTTAGCTTCTTCTTTTATTAAGATATATACTATACTTATAGTAGTAAAGAAGGCAGTAGGCCTAATAGTAAAGCTAGTTTTATTAAAGAAATTAATATATCTCTATAAGCAGCTAGCTTTTTACTTTAGCTATAGGTATATAGTAATAGTAATACTATTATATATTTCTTTAGTAGGCGTAAGGACGTTAGTAAGTAATAAGGCTACTATACTATTATTATTATTCTTTTTATTACCTTACCTACTTACCTTAAAAAGTAGCTATTACTACTTATTATAGGTATCTTTAAGGTATAGTTTAATAATAGTTAAATAAAAAGTTTATAGGCCTTAAGGGAGGTTAATAATATAAGTAGTCTTATTACTAGTAATAAAGTAAAAGGGGCCTTACTAGCCTTTTTTCTTATACTAAATATAGACTATAGATTAAAGTAGAAAAGCTACTATTATAGTAGTATCTAGGCTATTATATATAGTTACTACCTTATTAACTTACCTTTTTATATAAATCTAGTAAATAGCCTTTATTACTTTTCTTACTACTTTAGCCTTTTTAAGTAAAGTTAGTAAAAGTAGTAATAAGTTAGAGATTTATAAGTAAGCACTAAAGACTAGTAGTGTAGGTACTAAGCTATTTAGGCTAGCTATATTATTAATTACTTTAATAGCTAGCTAAAAGGTAACCTTAGGTGTATAGCCCTTATTATAAAAGATATTATATATACGTTAGAGGGGCGTATAGTATCTTTTAACCTTACTAATACTATTATAGGCTTTAATTAGTATTTCTTTAATATTAATATAAAGTAACCTTACTAACTACTTAAATTTACTAGTATAAAAGTTTAGGCTAGTATTAGTAATAATCTAGTTAAGTAGGCTAAGGTAGACGTTAATTTAGTATATCTAAAGTGCCTTTTATATATACTTTATAGTAATGTTTTTAAGTAAATAGGCTGCTTAAAAAGATATTATAGTATTAACTATATATAAGGCTAGGTAGTTACTATTAAGGTAAATAATATTAATAATAATCTTATAGTTAAAGTTATATTTATTATTATATAAAGTAAATTTAAAGTAACTAGGCGCCTTTATATTTATCTAGTAGTAGTAGTAAACCTTAGTTAATTTCTCTAAGGCTGTAATCTTAATTTTATTACTAGATTATTAGAAGATATAATAAAGCCTTTAGACTAATAAGTAGCTAAAGTAATAATAAATTTACTATAACTTATTATCTATAAGATAGTAGTAAGTAATACTTTACTTATATTAATTAAGTAGTATCTATATATAGCCCTATTTATAAACAGTAGGTATAATAGTATTACCTTAAATTAGCTTATTAGTAAGGTTATTAAATTTAATACTATACTAATCTATATCTATAAGGTAAAATAGAAATAAGGTATTTAATAGTATTATATAGAAGGTTAGCGTACTAAAAGGGGTTAGTATATTAATTACCTCTTATAATTTAAAGTAGTTACTACTACTAAAGTAGATTTTTACTTTACCTACTTATAACTTATTTATAGCTAGATTTCCTTTTATTTAGTAGTAAAAAGTAAAATACTACTTATATCTAGCTGTTAAATATTTAGCTGCACTAGAGTTAGGTATAATACTATAGAATAAGATAGATAAATATTACTTATTAAGGGTAAAGACGTCTATATTAGGTAGCTTATTATTATATAGATTCTTATATAAGGAGTTATTTTTTATAAGAAAATAGGTTATAGATTAGTTATATAGTAATAAAAAGAAAGTAAGCCTATTAATAGTAGATAAGTTAAAGAACGTTATTAATATATAAAACGTAGTACCTAATTCTTTATCTTTATTACTTTTTATATAGTTACTTTCTTTATCTAAAGTAAATAGCTTATATCTCTTAAAGTTAGTTATGAAGTAGTTAAAGGCTTTAGGTAAAAAGTCTATTAGATACTACTTTTTATATTTATAGTAAGCTTACTGCCTTTTGTCTTTTAAGTGCCTTATTAACTAATAGTTAGGCTTACTATATATATAGTACTTCTTTATAAATAATAATAAGGGTAAAAAAGGTGCTTATTACTATAGATTACTATTAAAAGGGAGCTATAGTATAAAGTTACTATAGCTATAGTTACGTTAGCTAAATTACTAGTAACTTAACTAGCTATTATAAGTATAGTTAGTCTAGTATTAATTATCTACTTCTTTAGTTAGGTATTAATATATAGGTTATTTAAATTATATTACGTTACTAATTACTAACTAAAGCTAGCTATATATACTAGTAAACGTTAAAGATAAATTAAAAAGGGTAAGAGAGTACTTTTT